GTGCTGAAATTAGGCGGTCGGTGAAAACTTTGTTGTAAAAAACATAGGCTCTTCGGCAAGAGAATGAAGAAATAATTCAAATAATTTTGCCGCGACTTCTATCTCAAGGTTATCCTTAAAATAACTTTTCTCAAGACTACTTCAAGCTTCGAAAACCAACAACGCTAGAAAATGTATTTGAATTGGCCCCGAAGTTCCCAAATCGACGAGTGGCAGAAAACATTCGAATAACAGGGTATGGTGAGGGACCAAAGGAGCGAGGTTTTAGGCCAACGCCTCAGCCCAAAAAAGAAACTTGATTAAAAAAAAAAAAAAAAAAAAAAAAAAAATTCAGTCGGGAATAGTGGAGGCAGAAAAGAAGTAAACAAAAAGCAGGAGGGGTCAGTTAAACTTAGGACTTAGAAAAGACGGGTTAATTCATAGAGCTGTTTTTCCTGAAACAGAAGTGTGGAGGGAGTGATGACGTAGTGCGTTGACACTGACTCCAAAGACAAAATTTGCAGCAAAGAAATTAACGTTTGAAATTTGGAAAAAAAAAAGCAGCCTTAAAATAACCTTGCGTCAAAAAATAGCTTTGATGTAGAAGATAAGCTGCCCTTATTGTAAGCATTTATGACGTTTAAAAAATTGATTATAATGATTTATTAATTATAACAGATAAAATACACTATATTTTCTTTAAAACTGCAGGTTCCTCACCCTCTGTGTATTTATAATTAAATCATGAATTAAAAAAAAACTTGATCAGCTCTGATTGGGTGGCAGTCTCTACGAGTTGCTTGCTAGGTTGCTTCGAATTTCATGGCGTACACCAGAGCGCTTCTCAAATCTTTAACATCCGCCATTCGCAGAGCTTTCTGTATTTCAGGATCACGGATGCCGTCGATGAAGTATTGCAGGACAGGATTTCCCTTCTTTCTGTCGGTCATTCCGAAAAGGCGAGATAAGACATCCTTTCAACATCCTTGGCGAGCTCTTGGAATGTTTCCATGGGCTTCTGTTTACGGGATTTTAACTGAAGCCTACTGTAGTCTTTTAAACATTTTCCCCAAAGCGCAGCTCCGACGCGCCGGATAAAGCTTCGAAACCTATTCTTTGGTTTCCAGGAAGAGTCTGAAGGATATCCGCTACGTCTGCTCTCAGAGAAGCGGCGAGATGACGGGCCTTAGCTTGGGAATCCCATCCATTCGTTTCTGCTATTATAGAAAATTGTGTCTCATATACTTGCCAAGAGGTCTTCCCATCATATGTGGCTAACTTCAGAGAAGGACCAACAGGCATGGGTAAAAATTTAAAACCATCAGAATTGATCCCTGCCGTCGCTACGAATTTCTTTAAGGTATCAACTTCTTTGGCGACCACAGAAACCCATTCATCAATTTGTTGTTCGATATGTCCTTGGACGGCAGAAACTATTTCTTCAATTTGTTGTTCGATTTTGATGTTGGACGGCCGAAACTCTTCCATCGATTCGTTGCTTCACGACAGAAACTTTCTCTTCTATTTGTTCTTTCACAGAAGAAACCTTTTCTTGAATTTCTCCAAGTTTGTTTTCAACAGCGTCTATTTTTTTCTATTATGCAGGTGATTTCTCTTTTCATTTCCTCTTGACCTGCTTTTATTTCCTCTTTTGCAACCTTCATCTCTTCTCTAACGGATTCTTGACCAGCTTCCATCTTTGCTTGAAAGACTTTCACCTCCCTTTAACGCAATCTTGGTTAGGTTGCATTACTTCTTTAACAGAGCTGACGGCAACTTTCATCTTTACTTGGAATGTAGTAAATGCAGTCATCAACTGCCTTAATTGTTCCACCATCGCTCTTTTACTGGCATTCAAACCCATTCCTGACACCAAAACGTGTTGCGTGCGTATCATCGAGCAAAAGTATTTTAAACTTCAAACCTTTTTGTTCCAGATAAATTTCTGGACCTCAAGAATAAAACGGTTGTTGAAGCATTTTGTAAACTGATCAGCCATCATCCATGTCTTTTTATTCGCCATCAAATGAATCGGAAGTTGTTTAATTTTTTTTTTTACCTCTTAAAGCTCGTGGCATAAGGGATTTGTTGATTAACAGAGGCTTTAACATTTTACCACTAGATGCATAACTAATAAACAAGAACGTCACCCGATCTTTTTCTGCTTGAAAACCACCAGCTAATTTTTCATATTTTTCTACGTAAGTTCTTTCCCGCAATTTCTTCTAGAATAATCTCGTTTCGTCGGCTTTAAATATTTGGTCGGGAGTTCAATTATTTCAACCGCCCTATTCAATTATTTTTGCTAGTTTATCCGGAAAGTCTCTTGCAGCATTTTCGTCTGCTGATGCCACTTCTCCTTTTATTTTTACACTAGCGGAAGCACCTGATGCCAGTTAAGTTAGATTGAGAGTAATGCATCTAACAACAGAGAGAAGGATACCGCTGTAATCCTTCTCTAATAATGATGCAAAAAATATGAATCATAGTCAATCATTTTTCAGTCTTATGCGATATGGAACCCAAATAAAAAATTTCCATAGAAAAATAAGCTATTCTCTCTCATTATATCAGCAACAACGGCACACAATTTTTAATGATTTTCGTCTTTCTAATCAAATGGTCGTAAAAGCTCAAGTTCCGTACAATATTTCACCTATATTCAATTTTAGTCGATTAAAAGTGGAAAAAAATTTATCATAATTGATCAGAAATCAATACCGCGAACAAACAAACACACAAACAAATATTTTTCTTTATATGTATCGATTTTGTAAAACTTACAAATTTTTGACTAAACTCTACGATTTGAAAGGAAGCAGTAGCAAGACTTTTCGAAATAAAGCATTTTTATCTCCAACGCGCGAGACTGTTGCCAGCCGGAAAAATGAGTGCGAAAACTAGCACTTTCAGAGTTTTCAATTAACACTTCGGCTGATTAAAGTCGTGCGAAGATGGGAATAGTCGAGATGGCTTCCCACGAATTTTCGGAATCGGGAATAATGTATTTAATGTTTGGTAATGCTATTTTTATTTCATCGTAAAACTTGGAAAAATTTTTATTAACAAACTCTAAAATTTAAAAGCGAGTAGTGACAACAACTTTCGAAATAAAGCAGATTTTCATCTCCAGCTTGCGAGACTGTTGCCACTGGGAAAATGAGAAGAAAATTATTGTTTTTCCCCGTTTTTAATTAATATCTCTGATTTTAGTTATTTTTTCTTGAAAAACGTGGGCGTCGACCTTTTCCAGTACCCAGAAAATAGTTGTAAAAAGTTTGATGACGATAGCTATAGTAGTGACTGAGTTATTAGTGAACAAACACACAGACTTTCTTCTTTATTTATATAGATTGTGCCATCCTTCACTTGCATTAAATTCAGTTTCATCGTTGCTTGAAGACTTGGTGGTTCCAATTTCTGAAGTTGGTTGTATATTCTAAGTGCTTTCTCTTTTAAAATGTTCTATCAATAGGTAATCTTTTCTTTAATGAATCTTCTATCCAAAACACCACGTGTTTTTCCGTTTTCTCTGATAGGATTTCAACTATAAGAATATGTTTTGGAACTGAGTTTCGATCCAGAAATTATTCATTGTCGAATGGAATTCTCATTTTTTCTAACTGTTCTTATAGTCGTTTCGTTTAAACCAAAAGTTTTGTCAACAGATATGTAACCTTCGACTCTCTTTAGACAGTCTAAGATTTTTATTTTAGTTTCTAACAATACAACTTGTCCCTTCGAAATATTTTGTTGTTTAGGCATTTTATTAATAAGGGTAATAGAACTTTTCTAAACCAAATATTTAACACAATATTACCTAAGTTAAAAATAATAATAATAATAATAAAATAATTAAAAATGATAAAAAAATTATCATCAATACACATTATACTGGAAATTTTACCATCGAATTAAAAAAATTTAATTTGAACTTCAACTTTTAGAACTTTATTGAAATTATTTATTACATCCTACGAATTGAACACTTTAACACTGAATACGCTGTGTACAAGTTGAAGTATAACGAGATAAAGCCAAAAGCGATTATAAAATTCAGGTATTCCCCATAACCACCAGAATACAAAATAAACAAGGCATAAAGTCAATACAAATTCTTTGATGAAGTGGATCAAGTCACTAACACGTGTGTGGGCATAAACCGACCGACTTCTGAGCACTACTTACGTTTTGTAGATTCTGAAGAATACCTTTTACCTTAGTTTCGTTTCTGACGCGCTTCTCTCTATAGTCTTCAATAGCATCAAGTTCTGCTTAAATTTCGTTTTCGATCAGCGTGCTGAAAAAACGTATGTGCGTATCTTCCAACTGTTCAGCATTCGAAAGAAAAACATCAAGTTCCGATTGTAATTCAGAAGAATCTATCCCATTTTTCTTCATAATTTCTTCTAAAATGATGAAGGATTTTGTAAATTCAGCTCTGTGAATCTTTTTACGAAATTTAATAGCTTGTTTACCTTCCATTTTTATACGTTAGAATTCCAAACTAATATCTCTTGGGCCGAGGGTACTAGAAAATGTGCGCTTACGCGTCAAAATAAATTATTACGCTACCACCGTATCATGAACTCTAGAGACTAATAAACGTATTCTAAAATATTCATTTGTTGCTGAAAATAAGTTTCGATCTTAAATAAATACAGCACTCATGTAAATAGCAGAGCACTCTTTTAATAATCCTACTTACTACAGGCTCATATTTTTGCTAATTCTATAAGTTGTTTTGCTGCCACTTTCTAAAAACAAAACTAACAATAATTATTAATGGCCAAAAGACATTAAGTAAATAAAATTAAAGTGTGCATAAAATACAAACTAATTGTCATCTTAAGTCCAACAACAATCATTAAAATTTAAAGCCTGAAATCACACGCATAAAATTCACGCCTAATTTATTCTGCTGTTAGTTTGCGTAAATTGGTAAAGCGCGTGTTAAAAATTATCTCCTTAAACAATAACCATAGCAACCAAAATAGTAGTTTGTCCCTATGATCATAAATATTTACCTTAAGAGCGTCAAAATTACATGTAATTTTTATCAGCGATTTGATTTCTCAGTTCTAATGGAAGGCAAGGTATGGGAAATTATGTCTTTAAAATAAATATTTACATTAAGAGTATTTATTTTTTGTTCATCTCTATAAAAGATAGCACTGAATTTCGGATTTAGTAAGTTAAAATAGTACCTTTCAAAAATATATTTCGGTAACAATATAATTTTTTGCTAACGATATACTTTAAACCTAGAAGAGCACCAAATTTAACGTTACAGTGGATTTATAATTACTGTTTACATTACAGTAGCCCAGGAATATTTACGTGTATAGCAGAAAAAAAGTAGACATGCTCTAATATTTTAATATTATACTATATTTATGCAAGTATCAAGAAGAGGACAGCCCTTCATAAAATTTCATTCTATTTTAAATCTTCCGGTTAATAAAATTACAGCAATGAATCTTAAAGTTATAGCTTTGGATGGTCTTTGAATTGGATATATTTCTATAAATTTTCCTTATATAACATTTAAAAGCAATTTAAATACGTTTTAACCACGCGGTGGCGCATAGGTTATAATAAAAAGCTGAAGCACGGTTACCGTCTATTCGTGGGAATCGTAAATTTCCTCTAAGGCTAAGGAATAAATGCAAGTTAGAACACTAAGTTGCTCGAAAGCACATTGCAAGTATCTAATCCTGTGGTTACGAAATTGTACTTACTCGTTTAATCGAAAACGTAAATCTTATATTTATATTCAAATCCCACCATTAGTCGAACTAGGAGTTTCACCCGGGTTTGGTTCCAGGCGAACGGGCTAGCTGCATGATTGGTTTTCGTGTTTTTTTCCCTGTGTAAAGTGAAAACAAGCTAGTTCCTCTTAGAAAGTCCATCACGAAATCATGCCTCCCTTTAGGCGAATAGCCCTTGTACGCTTTGTCATATTCAAATAACCTAACCTAATCTAAGTGTGCTCAAACCTGTGGAGCTAGGAATAGAAAAAGACTTTCTTTTTACCTGGTTAAAGTTCGGGTTTACGAGCTTTACAGTCTATGAGTGTGTCGCATTTTCTTTTGCATCCAAGGCATATTATGTTAACAGATTCTTAAAATGCAGTATTTTATAATATTTTCTTCATGTTTTCTCTTTCTCATGATAATATTTGATAGTTAAAACAGCTTCTGAGAAAAAATATCCAGTTTTATTACGCATACCTTGCAAAATTGCCTTTGAATATTTCAAAATATAACTTTGTTGTCCTCTAATTTAATATGATAGTGAATAAAACTGTATTAAGTCCATCAGGATTGACTGAGTAAGACCTCTGAACACAAGTAGTTCGACTTTCTTTCGAATCCTAGCATACGGGCTAGCTGCATGTGTGTTTTTGTGATTTTCCTCGCGTGTAATGTAAATACAATCGTTAGAAAGTACTTCACAAAAGGCATCCTTCCGCTAAGACAAATAATCCTAATGTGTTTCACTGTATTCAGTTAAATAAATAAAAACAAAAGTAATTTTTTGAAAGTAACTAAATTGTATTATTATTAAAACTGTATTTTATAAAAATTTTGTTTTATTTAGTTATAAGTCTAAAAAATGTCAGTAAGCCTTTTTAGACCAAAGGGGTGTTATCCCAGAAGGGCTCTTAGTCTCGAAACGGTATTTTGCGTTGAATCACTTAAATGCGTTGTATCACTTTTCAGACTCTTTCTAGCAAATATTATCAGCCATTATTAAAGAAATTATGCATAATATTTTTTAACAAATATTTTCCTTTCTTGCCAATTCTTAGCCGAATCAAATCGGATTACTGAAAAGATCTCTTTCTAATATACTTATCAAAAACTTGTTAAAACACTTCCTTCAGTTTAAAATTATTTTAAGCGTATGAAAAGTAATAACATTTTATCCCATTTAGAAAAGACATTTGGTGAATAGGAAAGAAATAATGCATGATCTTATTACTAATAATATTTTTTTAATAAATATTTTTATTTTTGTCAATTAACCGAATCATATTAGATTACTTAAAAAATTTCTTTCTAACATGCTTATTAAAAAGTTGTTGAAACACTTTATTCAGTTTAAAATCATTTTGAGCATATGAAAAGTAATAATATTTAATCCCATTTAGAAAAAAATTCAGTGAATAGGAAAGAAATAATGCATCTTTTTAAAAACAAATATTTTCATTTTTGTTTATCACTTTATTCTCTTTAATTATGTGTCTAGGAACCTAGTGAACTACTAAGCGAATAATTGCTCAACTCGAAGAACAGAAAACGTAGAACTCAAGAAGGGTTAATTACTCTTTATTCACTCCAAAAAGAAATTAACAGTCAGCCTCTTCTTTGCGCATAAAGCAAAGTTTATGGGGAAATGCCCCTTGGGTTTAAACTCAAAAGTAAGAAATAAGAACTAACTAATGACAAACTAAAAGCTTTAGCCGAAACTAATAGAATTTTAAACTAGTTGATTCTAATTGTTGTTTTCCTAATACCGAGGTGACCCAATATGGGTGAATCATTCAGATTCTAAAATATTTAATCGTAGACTCGCTGGGAACACTGGCCGGTACTCTTGATTCTTGTTCGTTATTTTCGTGTAAAATAGTAAGTTATCAATGATTTCATAGTGGTCTGCCCTATTTCTAATTGCCGTTATGTTCACATGCTCGAAATGTTATTGGTCTTCGAGATATACATAAATATCTTTTAATTCAGGATCCGACATCAGTTCTGCAATTATTGTTTCATAGGACTCAATTATTTTCGAAGCTAACATCGTACATTTTCCCTCTTCGTCAATATTAATTCTTGGTAGGGCATTCGCGACAACGTTTTCCTTTCCCGGCGTATGTTTTATAATTTGGTTAAACTCCCGTAGTTTTTAACGTCCACCGTTAGATTTTTTTCCAGAATACAAGCGACCAACTGCCGCACGGTCTGAGTACGGCGCTTCCAAAGTAAACTCGGAATTTCTGCACTGCTAATAAGATAACGAGAATTTCTGTTTCGATCGCAGTATAGTTCCGTTAAATTTGATTCAGCGTATGAATTCAGTTCACTGGCAATTGGCTGCCGATTTTGGGGGAGAACAGCGTCAACTGCGAAACCAGAGACGTCTGCCGCGATTTCTAAATTCTGATCTCTTTCCGGAAACTTGAGAACTGGGGAGTTGATTAATGCGTGCTTTAATTCTTCGAACACAGTGTTCGCCTCCGCGGTCCATGTGAATCTAGTTTTCTTGCGTTTGAGAATCAGCAAGGTTTCGACTATATTCGCAAAGTCCTTAGTAAAGGATCGATAGTATGCACATTAGCAAAAAGAATATGCTAATTTTTCGCTGTATTAGGAAGCGGATAACTCTTGATTGCTAAGATTTTAGAATTGTCAGTTTCAATGCCTTTTTTCGAGATCTTATATCCGAGGTATCTAAGTTCCTCTGCCGCAAATTTACATTTCTTGGGATTCACTTTGAGGCCAGCTTCATTTAATAATGAAAAACCTTCTTTTAAATGGTCAATATGTTCGTCTATTGTTTCGCTTCTGATTATTATATCATCTAAATAAATAAATGTATTTTTGCCAAGACGTATCTTAATACGATATCCATTACCTTCTGGAATGTAGCTGGAGCTCCGGAGTCAAACGATATTCTCAAAAATGCATACACGCTTGACTTCGTCATGAAGGCTGTTTTCTCCACATCTTCCGGTTTTAGTGCAATTCGAAAATTCCTGATGTTAGGTCAGGCATAGTCATATACTTAGTAGATCGAATTTTTCGTATTATCTCATCAATTATCAGTGGGCATATGTAGGATATTTCGCTATGTATTACAGTAATCTACGACAAATCTCCACGAATTCAGATCTGACGGTGGGAAACCGTTTTTCTTCCTACATAAAACTACCGGGTTTGCGTAGGGCTTACAACTTGGAATAATTATTTTATTGGCCAGCATATGTTTAATGTGCTGCTTCAAAATAATTTGCTTCGCCTGGTCATAACTATTGTGAGCTACTATTGTGAGCATTTCCCATATTGATCTCATGCTGCACTACTTGGCAGAATCCTGGCTTTTTGTCAAATAATTTATAAAATTCTCTTACCAATTTTCCATTTTCTTTTTATCCTCTTCTTGGAGGTGGTTCAGGTCTATGTCTGGAGTGGCCCCCTCTTCTTCAGCGTCCATCTGAACCTGTAAGGTAAAGTTCTTAAAATTTAAATTTGCACTTGATGCGCGTAAAATATCGACCCCCAAAATACTGAAGTTAGTAAATCCTTCACTACAAGAAAATTAGCTTTCTGCGTATTATTTTTGATTTGTACACGCAGCCCTAGTTTTCCAATGCAGACATACTGTTTTCCTTTGGTGACAATTAATTTCTGTCCCATGGTTTTAAACAGTCTGTAACGACGAAAATTCTTTTTAAAAATATCTTGCGACAAAAAACTGCATTTCGCCCCGGTGTCGAGTAAGGCCGTAGTAGGCACCTTGTTTAACAAAATATGAATTTCCGGCAAGGTCAGATTCTACACTATTACCGTTTTTAACTTAATTTTCGAGGGAGTTGTCTTCACAGAGTTGACAGAATACTCTTCTCGGCCATCTGATTAGTTTAAATTCTTTTACTCCGCTCCTTACGTCTACTGCATCTTCTTGCGATCTCCAAATATTTTTGGTTGACCCGTCTATTTGCTATCAACTTTTACTAGCTTCTCCTATTGCCGATAAAGATACTGCTTACTTTGACGTTTTGTTGACAAGAAAACCTGGAATACTGGCGTAAATTTGTTGAACACGCGTTTTCAGCGGTTTGTCTGCCCTGGAACTTCTCGGCGAATTGAAATAGACTTATAGAATCGGCGAATTGAAATAGCGATATTTGTGGATTTCGCACCTCCAGGAAATCCTGATTCGAAGGAAGCAGGAGCGGCAAAATTACCTCGATTAATTCCCTATCCGGCCTCTTTCTGTACAGTAGATTGAAGATTTCTATTTTTATCACAGTAAAATCAGTCAGATCTTTAACATTCTTCTGGTATTTACTGAAGAGCTCTGCTTCCAGTTTTGCTCGGTCTTTGACTACGGTAAACATTTTTAACAGCGCGGTTTTAAAATTTTTCCAGGTGTAGGTTTCGTAAGCTGGATCCCCCAAGAGGAATTTTCCGATGCACTTCAACCAACTAAGGGCTTGACCTTTTAGATTAGACGTTGCTATTGTAATTTTCTGCACCTGATTTACAGGATGTAGTGTAAAATGCAAATCAAGCAGTTTCAGACAGGTCATTCCTGAACCTTTGCCACGAAACGTTGCGGCTGGCTTCATAGCTGCCCGCATTGTTTCTACTATAAAATACCAAATCCCTCTATTGGGTGTACTGGTGGTTCCGGGATTTGTAAGGTAGGAGGCGTCAGCGTAAATTTTCCATTTTCCAACGACATGGTTCGTTAAAATGTCTCGGGTACCAATATAGAGGTCCTCACTTTATTGTGTTAAATTAAGTCTCGAGGCCCATAGTGAACTACTAAGCGAATAATCGCTTAAGCCCAACAGCAGAAAATGTGAAACTCAAGAAGGGTTAATTAACATTTATTCACTCCAAAATAAGATTAAAAATTGGCCCCTTTTTTTTGCGCGTACAGCGAAACCTCCCCTTGGGCTTAAACTCAAAAGTTGGAAACAAGAACTAACTAATGACTAAAAGCTTTAGCCGCAGCTAACACAATTCTAAACTATATGGCCCATAATATTAAATTAGCCAGAGAACTATCAAAAGGCACGTGATAGGTGTAGCAAATACATAGCGCAATAAGCCAGAAATACTAACAAACGCGCAGGATGAAATGTGTGATCTGAAAGAAATATTAAAGTAAAGTAACTTACCCCCAAAGGATCACACTTCAAATAATTCAAATCCATTAATATTTATTATATCCTGACCTCATTAAATTTTGAATTCTTACCTGCATAAATTAAGTAAATATCGCCAGATAGAAGATTATCAGTCATGATCGTATAATGGCAGAATAAATAGAAGAGTATCAGTCCTACCATTTTGAATCCTAACCTCTCGTACGAGATGTGTGTAATATTCCAATGAAAGCAGATCTCATTCCATCGACGTAGAGCAAAGTTTCGAGATAAAAAAAAAATCAATTTTTTTAACGGCGGAAATTAAGTTAGCTGGTTATTCCAAAATATTTTTGAAGAAACACAAGACGAATGCTTATATCGTCCGGAAAGTTCTAGCACGTGCACATGAAGTCTTTTCGAAGATTTTTAAATTGTAGAACATTATTCATTATCGGCAGATGATAGGTATATAGATCCTTTTAGTTGTATCTTCAGTTCCAATTTCTTTACTAGAAGGAATATCATGCCTCTACATCCAGCAACGGAAATGGCAGACAAAAAAAAGAACAAAAATGGCACACGCGTCAGCCGGGGTGAGAATAGACAGAAGCCGTCCTACACCTTCGGAGCCCAACAGCAGAAGCAAGAGAAATCTTTTGTAGCCGTCAATTTCGCCTTGTCATCCAGAGGTCGCAGTGAACACACTTGACGTTGAATAAATACGGAGGCTTGCCTGCACAATACGGCTGAGCGTAATAACAACTTAGAGAGACGTAGCCCAAAGAGAAACGCGCATTACTCAGGAATCCTCACTCTCTCTGTCGAAGTCTTGAACTTAACTCTCTTTCTCATTTGCATTTAACGCGATTCTGAAACCTCATTCTGGTAGTGAATTGTAAGTTGAAGCTAGGTAAGACAGGAAAGATACATTAAATTAAAATCACTGTTATAAAATTAAAATATACCTTACAATCGAATCAAATCGGACTACCTAAACTTGTTGAAACACTTCATTCAGTTTAAAATTTTTTTGAGCATATGAAAAGTAATAATATTTCATCCCATTTAGAAAAGAAATTGAGTGAATAGGAAAGAAATAATGTATGATCTTAATGCTAATATTTTTTTGAAAATAAATATTTACATTTTTATCGACTGTTTACCGAATCAAATCGGACTACCTAAAAAAAATTCTTTCTGATGTATTTATTAAAAACTTGTTGAAACACTTCTTTCAGTTTAAAATTATATTATTTTGAACATACGAAAGGTAATAATATTTTATCCCATTTAGAAAAGAAATTCGGTGAATAGGAAAGAAACAATGCATGATCGTAATACTAATAATATTTTTTTTTAATATTTTCGTTTCTGTCAATTGTTAACTGAATCAAATCGGATTACTTCAAAAATTTCTTTCTAATGTACTTCATGAAAACTTGCTGAAACATATCATCTAGCTTAAAATTATTCTGAGCTCATGAAAACTAATAACACTTTGTTCCATTCAGAACGAAATGTTGTTTTAAAGAACAATCTCTCAACCTTAGTACAAGCGGCCCTCGACTTTCGCACATTTTTGAAAATTCTACATTTTAATACAAACATTTTTCGCATACCTGCAATTGGAGTGGTGCATTACCGGAATTTCGAGATTCAACCCCCATCGAGAAATATTCGGTGCGAACACATCAGATATAAATGTAAATGAACATATTAATGACCCATAGTTGCACGAAATTCAAAACATAATAGCGCAAGCATTTTTTTAAACCTCCAGAAAATAGAGAGGCAAGTTGTCCAGTTGTTTGCTGCTTTAATATTGAAAGATTAATTCACTTTTCGTTTTGTGTTTTGTGTCGGCAGTTAAGCAATATTGTAAAGATAAATAAAGGTAACAGCATTCTTAATCTTAAACAACACTCCAGGGTACCCAAAAATCTCTGCAGAATTTATACGCGGAAATGAAACGTTGTGTTCCTCCCCCCTCCCCAATGTTACCTGCCTAATACAGCCCATGGATCAAACAGTGATAGCTATGTTTATAGGACATTATATGAGGACAATAATGAATCAAGCAATCAAGGCAACTCTCAGAGAAGGTGGCCTACATAAAGAGATTTTTGAAATAACTGTAATATATGGAATGCAATAAACAATACTGGACACTCGTGGGATGAAATAAAAGAGTCAATAATGAAGGGCTTCTGGAAATAGTTACGCTCAAAACGATGAATGATTTTATAAATTCTGAAGAATGAATTTCACTCAGAACCTCTGTCAAATGAATGCATAATTGAGTTACAAGAGTTAAGGGAAATACACGATGAAAATGAAGAAAGAGAAGCTTACCAATGGTATTTAACGAGTTATTGACAAGTTTATAAAGGAAACACATGAAAGCGCTTAAGCACGTCCCGTTACTTAATTGTGTTTATTAATAAATAAATAATTGTGTTTATTCATAAATAAATGGATAAATAACAAATAAATAACTGATAATAAATTACAATAAATTTTAAATAAATAATAATAAATTGTTTTAATATTATAGTAAATAACAATAAATTGTTAAATGAATAATTATATTTTGAAATAAATCATTATTCATAAATAAATGTTTTAAAATATTTTTTTAATTATCTCTACTTTCGAGCATTCAGCATTCGCACACATTTCCAGAAACCAATGATATGTGAAATTCGAGGGCCACCTGGGCCAAAATATTGCGTAGGAAGAAAATATGTATAGTTAACTGTATGTGTAACCTACCGAAAGGGGGGTAACCTACCGAAAGAAAGCCGCTATCAGAAGTCGCGGAGTGAGAAGCGTTAGAGAGGACGAAACAAATGCAGTAGCGATTTGAGGCATTTCAGCAAAGATGTCCCTGCATGCGGCTGATTGCATGTATGTATAATATAAATTATATTAATAAACCAAAAGAAATAATACAGTCAAGGCAGAGAACTCTTAACATATATATGACGTATTTAAACCTTCTTTTTCTTTTAAGTATAGTAAAAATATTTAATCCAATAGCAAATTACTAAATCTTTTGAATAACAAGCGGCAGAGTCTCGTTGATTCAGGTCAGTGCCTGAGAAAAGCCCATTCTCCTCTCCTTCGCTCCTCTATACTCAAACCTTAAGTTGCTTTTGGAATGATTGCTAGAATATGAATTTAGCAACCAACAGTTCAGCAGTTCTATGTTGATCTTCTTGATGAATTAATGACATTCTTCTTGATGAATGGCCTACACAACTGCCCCGCTCCTTTCGTCCACCCACTTAGCTCAGTTCTTTACAAGGTCATTTTAAAGATAACCTCATAACTTAAAAAATCAGATGAAATGAAAAACTTACGTTCTTTTCTTTGATTACGAAAGCTGATGAGCTTAGCAGTCAAACCTCTGTATCATTCTGTTATAAATAAACCTTGCAGATTCTTGCAGCTTCGCTAGATCATCGGTTTCGAAATTTTGGTTAAACATCACCTCGTCAATTTACTAAATGTGATAATTCGGTCCTACGAAAATTATTTACACAGAGAAGACGATAATATGCATAAAATCACAGCAATTTTATGTATCAAAAAAAATACATTTAAATTTATAAGCCGTATGTATTAGCTTAAAACTTACAATATATTTATTTTTCCCATTAGATTCAGATTATGGGGAATATTTATTGGAGTAATCTTTATCAAAAGTAGAGGCAAAAAATGGAAAAGCAGTATATACCAAGAGGATGTATCCAAATGAGCACTGGAAGCGATCAACAGCCATTGCAGTTGATATTAGGTAATAGGGACAATAATCTAGAAATAAATTTCACTCCCGGGAAGTGTAGGAAGACTAAAGCTTTTCATATGAACAGAGAGTTGTGGATACCACCACCTGCCAAAACCACGCGTAGAATAAGACCTTGTTGTTTGTACAAGTATCCAACAAATGAAATAACGTTACATTTACAAGATGATAGAAGCTGTTCCACATACGGACTGCCAATGGTAATTGAATCAAAACACCTTGAAAATTTTAAAGCCATTCTTTATCCTTATTGTGAAAATAGAGAAGTCAGAATTGACAGAAAAGTTTCACAAAAGGGCATCGAAGATTGCAAAAAACACATAGAAACAAATTATATAGCCCAATGTAATGTATTAAAGGAATCTGAGAAACTACTCAATGAGCAAGAAAATAAGAGAAAAGCTTTAAAGCGATATATTAGTGTACTAAAAAAGAACATGGATGATATAAATAGATCAATAAGCGAAGTCAGAAATATCAGAAATAGCGACCATGAGCTAGGACTGGAAAAGAATGTGAGCACACAATGGAATGCACCCGAAATCTGTAAAGAAGACATGCATGAAATGCGCTTTATGAAACCAAGTCGCACTATGGACACTGGCAAAGAACATGATTCTGATCGGGACATAGTTGACAAATGTTCTGATCATAAACATTTTGAGATTACTGCCACCCCTAGAACCAGCTCTTTTGAAATAAAACGTGATCAGCGAGAGTATAAAGAACATAGATTCCCAGCAGCAGCAAATGGAAAAAGCGAAAGCAGCAGTGAAAGTGATCAACGCAGTAATAAAGAAGTTGAAAATTTAATGATGAAACTAGCAAATAGTATACGTATTTCAAAGCAGTTGATTGATGCCATATATGAGCAAGAAGGGGATGTAAATGTCTTGCAAAGGAAGTACATCAAAGGCGCAGAAGCATTGTATAATAGCCAACAAAAGTTATTAGAAGAACTGAACCAAGTAAAAGATATTGGCAGCAGTGCTTCATCTAGAAACGGCAAGAAAGAAGGTAGATTTAGTTGCTCTGATCATGAAAACCTTTTAAAGAAGACTAGTGGTGTGCATGACAGTACTTTTCAGCTTGACGATTTCGAAATTGACGCAAACAATACTATCAATAAAATAAAGCACAAAAAGGTAAAACTTACCTCTTCCCCTTGTTTTGAAATACACAAGCAAAAGCATATTCTTGAAGAACAATTAGCTCAAGCTCGTTCAGAATTAAAAGATCTACAAAATAAACTAGAAACTTCAAAATGTTTAGGAATTAAAAGCTTAACAATTGACAATAAAGAAAAGTTAAAAGATGGAGAGTCTAAGGAAATGACAAAGGAAGTAGCAGATTCGAAAATGTTTAAATCAAGCAAAAATCACATAAAGCCAAGTTCGGAAGAAATTCCGGTTTACTTTTTAAAAGAATTTAACTCCCATGAAATTTTGCATAGGAAAGCAGAGAAACCTAAGCCTTCAACACCCCAGGCACAATTACCACCACATTTGCTCGAAGACTTAGATCCCATACACGAAACTTCATCATATGAAGATCAGCATCAATTTTCAACAAAAAAGTCATCATCAGATAATCTAATAAGACCAATAAGTGAAAATGAAGTTTCGGAATTCAAAAAACTGTCTTCTGAAACACGAAAAAGCTCATTGCCTGCCCAGGATTCTGAAGAGAAAAGGAAAACAGATAAAATCAATGAAAAGTATCCATTGATTGTAAAAGTGGATAAATATGACAAAATGCCTCATTCTGGTACATCAAAAGATGAAGACTCTTTTAAAGAATCTTACCTTTTCAATCAAAAGTCGTATAGTAAAACAGCAAGTAATGAAAGAAATCATATTAACAATTTTATTAACCGAAGACCAGCTGATGCAATGCTTTCAGAAGATAGTTCAAATTCAAGAAAATTCTATCCTTTAATTCCAGTACAAGAATCTTTCGACTCTGATAAATTTGATGAGGTGTCTCCTTCTGTCACACATAAGGATCAGGACTCTTTTAAAGAACCTAACCTTTTCAATCAAAGGTCGCATAGTAAAACAGCAAGCAATGAAAAAAAGCATACCAACGGTTTTATTGACCGAAGATCAACTGATGCAATGTTACTAGAAGATAGTTCAAATTCAAGACAATTTCATCCTGTAACGCCGGTAGATAGATCTTCTGACTCTTTCGGGACTCCAGACACTTTAATATATGGAAGCCTTGATGAAACGTCAGAGGAGTTGGATCCGAATGAAATTCACACGGCAACAAATGCAAAACTGAGACAAATGCAAGATATGAGTAAGCTAGCCAACAAGAACAGCTCAGGATTTGAAATGAGAGGAAGAAGTAAAAGTGAACCTTATGGCACCACATTTGAGAAATCACCTGAGAAAGAACGCAGCAGAGGTTACAGCTGTTTTGCTCCCATAGGAAAACAGGAACGTTTGTCAGGTTTTCAAGACTCTGAAGTAGCACGTAGAAAAGGGATTCGTGCTTTCTATCGCGAACATTACCCCACTGAAAATAAAAAAACTTTAGATCAAGAGGTATACGAGGAAACTGATCCAAAATATTCACATCAAATTTCAGAACGGCAAGCGGAATCAGAACAGTTACAACAGTTTTCTGGTAAGAGATCTGCAGACAATGGATTAAGTTTAGATCACTCCGATAAGGAATCCAGTGAGGAATTACATTCATATGATCTCCCTTCGAGTTTCATGAACATGCACTCAAGTGAAGATAGTGATTTCGATGGAAAAAGAAGAAAAAGCAAACTGCAGTCGACACCATTGCCAAACCGTTTTCTACTACACCCAGACATAAGGAACAGTGCATTGCCTCGTGAATCTCAAACTTTTTCTTCACCTAGCACCTCCACAAATTGGGCAAGTCCTAATCTAAAATATGTTATTACAACAACGCCAGATAAATCAGATCTTCCCCTCAGGAGAAAGCTTTTTGAAAGTAACAGACCATACAGAAGTTCACCAGAAATTTCAGACATGCAAAAGGCAAGTTACAAAATAAATACTTTGTATCATCAAATTATGTCTTAAACCTGATATAGAATATTGGCCAAACATATGATCTGATCTTGCCTATAATTTATTACAAAATAATTAAATATCTCCAACATTATAGGTTTGAAGAATTTAAATTTCATTTATATGTATGAATGTATGTTGTCTATAATTTATAAGTTGATTGTGAATATGCTAAAAGCATAAGCTATTACAGAATTAAAATTAATCAACTACCATTGCATAAAGTATACTGAGAGTAAGATTATATTTAAAATATGCAAGATTATTCAAAAATAAATTATGCGTAAGAAAAATCAAAGAAATTACTTTTTGGGGGATTTGAGTATAATAAATTCATATTTTATAAGACTATTCCCAAACGCGTAGAGCTCGGGATCCTAGGATTTCAGAGACTTAAATCTTTATATATTTGTAAAATTACGAAATCTGAGAACGACATTTTTTTCAAAATATAAATAAAATATTCATTTATTAAAAGCATATTTCATAAAAAATTACATCATCAATAACAATATTTGAAAATAAATAATAAACACTCAACTGGAATAAATAATAAAATAAATAACAAAAACATAATAAGGAAATATTCAATTGTATGCAAATATTGTTTTTATATTTTATTAATCTTGCCCTTCAGAAAATATTTCTATAGTGTAAAGGAAAGATTGTAGATAGTAAGATTTCTCTTATATGTGTTTTAAAGAATTAGTTGAAAGGAAAGTAAAAGTTTTCAACAAATACAAATACCACAATTCTTTTACCAATACAAATTATACTCATTAATACTCTCAGTCAGGTTCAAGAGAACAAATTTAATTTATATTGTACATTGTAAATTTAATTCTTTTTTCTAAAGTTATACTTGAATTGGAAATAAATCATATACAAAAACTAATAATATTACATAGAATAAATTAATTAGAATTGAGCAGTATTCAAATTAGTAAATCACTTTGTTTCTAGATACCTGTGTTAATTAAATTAATTTGCAAACCCATTTACTAGATAATGAAGTAATGATTCCATATTCCATGTTATTCGCATACTATGAACCCCTGGCTAGCCTGGATTTGTGGGAAGCGATTTTTTATACACCCGTTATCTTAACTGCTTCCATTTAATTTTTCCAACACTAAAAATTCCTGTATACGCCGTTCAACGTTCATTCATCAACACTGAATGCTTGCTGGTATCAGCTCTGCACAGAAGTTATCAACAATTTTAAAGGATTTCCTTCAGTTGAAAATAAAGCTAAAGAAATCAAATAGCAAATTTGGTACAAATAGCAAAGGCAAATGGGAATGTGGAAAAGTCAAAACATGGAAAAGCCAATAACGAATGAAGAAGTGGATGATCTTGGATCAGCCGACAGTGAAAGCAGTAATAATGAAGAAGAAGATTAAGTACCTTTAACATTCAAGGACGAATTAAAGAAGTTTTTACAAGTTAAACGAATTGTTGAAAAAGTTAAACTTGCGATGAGGATTCATTTAAGTGAAGGAGGACACTTTATGATAGGCTTTGAGAAGCTGCAAACCTTACCGAGAAACTTTTAAAAAGTTACCTAATGTCATTGTCCCATGCAAAAATCAGAAGCATTTTTAAAAACATAATTATATCGTGTACTTATTAAGCAGTAATAAAAGTGCTATCATTTAATATTTGTTTAGTTTTCGCTTTTTAAATATTTAGGTTTGTTTAAATTACGTTTGCTTCTTGTTTGAATTACACAGAAAGTTGATTTTGCGGAAAACGATTTGGCCGTGTTCTTAGTATATTAATGATGTCGGCAAGGGTTTACTACATTTGAAAAAAATATGTATTAAAAAGTTTCTTAATGAAATAATTCAATTAAAGTTGTTAAAAACAAATTCATATAGTAATTCGGACAACCAAAAGTTTTGCTCTGATTTTCGCCAAACGTTAGTGTTGTGACATTTGTCTTATCTTTTAAAATAATTAAAAAGTTAAATCGCAAAAATTATCGTCAGCAGTTTAAAATTATTATCTCTTCAATAAAATACTTTGATGATTTCGAATTTGAAGTCAGCATAGCAACATGCTGTAGAATTATCGGAAGTTATATTATCTGATTATACTACATTTCGAGAACGATAATTAACTCTATCTGATGTTGCTAAATAATGGATGCTGCTTGACATTTCAAGCCACCACTGATGTTTTTTCTAGCGGAAAGTCAAGAAACGTCCAAGGCTAGAATTCGCAAATGAAATAGAAGAACGTTTCGTAAAGAAAATTATTCCTGAAACTGTCAAACAAGTAGGGTATATCGATCCAACAGCCAAATTCCACAGTAGAAATTCTTCATAGAGGAATAAAAAATTAAATTACACTTGGCTTTTGTAAAATTCATGGTAAGCCAGCAAGAACCGGATACGAAGATGTAGCAGGTTCGCATAAAATAATATTTGTAGAAGAATCAAAATTCACATATTACAAAGAAACGGCAGACGAATGTAATTATGACGAAAGATCAACGAAGAGCTAGATCTGAAATTTATGTTGATTACTGTTAAACAAGAAAGTGGACTCTGAAGGAAACAGGAAGGCTTGGAGAAGTTTTGTTTTCTCTTACAAGGAACATTTCGTTTTTGATAGAAAATTAATTTTCTTCGCCCATTTTCAATATAAGAATTCAAGAGATTCTAAATAAAAGTTTTTAAATGAGCAAAATCTTTTACTGCAAAATCAAAACTTTTTTGCATTCTTTGGACATAAACCCTATCGAATATATACTGAGCAGGAGAAGAGAATAAGGAACACAATATTTCTATCCAAAAGCCCAAGTAAAAATTAAATAAAATCGAATTAATAAAATATAAGAGTATTAATAAACTATAATAAATTATTATTAATAATTATCGAATTAATAAAATATAACAATTAAATAAAATTGAATGTCCCTATTAAAAAAAAGTTAAATTCATGCCAAAGTGCATGTAAAACATAATTCTCCGTACTAAAAAAAATATCCAAAGATTAACTACTTGCTATTTAGTGTTCAAATACTTGCGTGATTTCATTCCCACTATTTTTTGTAGGCTATTTTAAAAAATATTCTGGACGTTCATTTTAATGATTTTTAAGCAATAGATAAACAACAGTGTATGTGAAAAAGAACTCATCAGTTCTTTAATAGATGTTTTTTCGAATCAATTTAAAAAATGTAAGTGTCTGAAAATAAATATGAGCCATTGTACATGTGTTTCAAATAAGTGTTAATTTCACATTTGGTGTGCTTATTGAATAACACTTATTTTGCATTGAAAAGCAATTTTTTCCAAACAATTTATAACTTAATTGCAAATGTATAGTATTTCGGATTTCAAAGTGGTCATAAAAGTTATCATATTTTAAGAACAAGAATTCCGAACCCTGTACTTTCGCAAGAGGGGTAGAAACAGGGCAAAGCTTGCTGAAATCGAGCAAAAAATGTGGTTTGTATTGATACGTGTAAAAAATATGCAAAGTAGAAGAGTTTTTTGTTAACGCAGTATTGTACCCTATAATCTCTTTTGACATCCTAATTACAATTATTAATTATTAATTAAATTAGTTTAAAAATTGTGTCCAGTTCTTGCCTAAAAATTTCCTGTAGATGGACATGTCCAGAGAGAGCACTTTATAAATTTCAGTGAATAGGAAGTCTACTACATGTAACGTTATACAAGCCTGGAGGACAGGCTGAATATGAGAAATAATATGAAGGAATAAACACAAATTATACAGCAAACGACATTATATTCAAGATATTGAAAAATAGATTGCATGCTTTTTGCAGAATTTGTACTCTAAACATTATGTGGATGGTCGAGATTCTTCTTCTTGTTTCATTTAGGCATATTTTTTATTTGGTAATCATTTTCATAGAAATTTTTCTTAGATTTTGATGTTCATATAAACCCTACATGAACATTTGGAATTCATTTTCAAAATTAAATATTCTTTCAGTGTCGAAATCTGTAACAGACACTAAGGCCGACGAATTGTTCTTCATAATCGAACAAAATCCTTTATAGAAGAGCTAATAACTTTAGAAGTAAAACTCATTAACTAAACATAGTGTTACGAATTTTGTACATATATAAACAGTTTTAGTGAAATTTTACGTGAAAATGCTGTATTTTTCTGTGTAATGTAACATGAAAAATCTAAAGAGGGGATGCTTTGCCGGAAATGTTAGAATACAGGGCCAAGTCTTTTTAACATTCAGTCAATGGCTATCTCGCTAAATTAGCAAAATATCACCAAGCTGGTTACGGTTTTGGCAATAAAATTTTGGTTTTGGCGGGAAATCGCCAAAAGTCGTAGAACTTGGCGATCATTTTGTCTGGTCCCTGTATAACTGAAATGACTATTGTAAATGAATAACTGTAATTGATGCTACTTGTAGCTGTGACTATTATGAAAAATTATATTTATGATAAATGGAGGGAGGAGTGGGAAAGGTCTGATCGAAATAAAGGTTATATGAAATTTGTTAAACTTAAAAAAGGTTATGTTATTCAGACATTGACGTTAATCAAATCATTACAGGTCATGGCCGTTTTCCTTTCTATTTTAAAATGTTTAAATTACAAGAGTCTGACCAATTCGTGGCAGCCTTTGCTTCAAAGAGGAGATGAAAGTGCGCCAAGAATCTGTTAAGGAAGAGATGAAAGCAGTTCAAGTACAGGTGGAAGGGACAGGCAATTCAGTCCTAGAAAAGACTGAAGATGATCAAGAAGAAATGAAAAGGAAAATTTACCTGCATAGTAGAAAACAAATAATAGGCTATGCATAATAAAAATAAAATTAATTGCATAATAGAAAACAAATTATAGGCTATGGAAGGCAAAGTAGACACGGTTGAAAATAAGGTTGGAGAAATTGAAGAAAGAGTTTTTTTCTGTTAAACAATAAATCGAAGAAAGAGTTTCTTCCGTCCTACAACAAATCAACAACAAATTAATGACAGGGTTTCTGCTAATGTCGCCAAGGAAGCTGAAAGTTTAAAGAAGTCCATAATGACTGCTGGTCACGATTTTAACGCTTCTAAATTCGAATATATGTCGTCCCGACTCACTCTGAAACTATCTACAAATGATGCAAAGACCTCCTGGTAAGTGCACTCTATAATGGAAAACGCGAATGGATGAGATTTCGAAATTAAGCCTGCCAT